TATCCCCTTGATACTGGAATACCTCCTGTCCTTAAGACAGCAAGGCTTGGCGACATCCTCAATCAAGGTTCACCTCGCCGCTATTTCCGCTTTCCACCCAGGAGAACTCACGTCCTCGGTCTTCTCTAACCCGATGGTCGTTAGATTCCTCAAGGGCTTAGACCGGCTGTACCCACAGCAACGGCAACCGGTTCCGACGTGGGACCTCAACCTCGTCCTCTCCAGGCTCACAGGGCCTCCGTTTGAACCATTGGCGACCTGCTCACTCCTGTACTTATCCTGGAAGACAGCCTTCCTCGTAGCCATCACCTCAGCACGACGCTTCTCGGAACTCAGGGCGCTGACATCCGAGCCCCCTTACACGGTGTTCCATAAGGACAAGGTGCAGCTTCGCCCCCACCCTGCCTTTCTTCCAAAAGTGGTCTCACCTTTTCACGTAAACCAGGACATATTCCTCCCAGTCTTCCATCTGAAACTGCACGCTACTCGTCAAGACCAGCGTTTGCATTCTTTGGACATTCGCAGGGCCCTGGCTTTCTATATTGATCGTACAAAGCCATTTAGGAAAACGACGCAACTCTTCGTTGCGGTGGCCGACCGGATGAAAGGCTCACCGGTCTCTTCACAGTGCCTGTCCTCTTGGATCACGTCCTGTATTCGTGCTTGTTACGACCTGGCCAGTGTACCGACGCCACGCATCACCGCCCATTCCACGAGGGCCCAGGCCTCCTCGACTGCCTTCCTGGCTCAAGTCCCGATCCACGACATCTGTAGAGCCGCAGTGTGGTCATCAGTCCACACATTCGCTACTCACTATGCGCTGGTGCAACAATCCAGAGACGATGCTGCTTTCGGGTCAGCGGTTCTGCACACAGCTATGTCTCACTCCGACCCCGCCTCCTAGGTGGGGCTTGGGAGTCACCTAACTGGAATGGATATGAGCAAGCACTCGAAGAAGAAAAGACGGTTACTCACCGTTGTAACTGTTGTTCTTCGAGATGTGTTGCTCATATCCATTCCAAACCCGCCCCCCTTCCCCACTGTCGGAGTAGCCGGCAAGAAGGAACTGAGGGGGCGCTGGGTCGGCTGGGGTATATATCCAGCGCCATGAAGGCGCCACTCCAGGGGGCTCCACAGCCGACCCACTGGGGGTTGCTAGGGTAAAAATCTTCCGACGATCGTGCACGCGGCGCGCGCACACCTAACTGGAATGGATATGAGCAACACATCTCGAAGAACAACAGTTACAACGGTGAGTAACCGTCTTTTGTCTGCCTTGTTGTTTCCGAGAAAATTTATTGCCATTAACTGGAAGGCTTTCCAGGCCGTCTTTTCCTTGCCACACAGTGCATGGTCAAATGCATCATCTCAAAGAAGTTCACGAATCTGAGGACCAACAAAGACACCTTCCTTTATCTTAGCTTCACTTAACCTTGGAAATTTTCCACGGAGGTACTTGAAAGCTGCTTGTGTTTTGTCAATGGCCTTGACAAAGTTCTTCATCAGACCCAGCTTGATGTGTAAGGGTGGTAACAAAATCTTCCTTGATTCAACAAGTGGTGGATGCTGAACACTTTTCCTCCCAGGCTCCAATGACTGTCGGAGTGGCCAATCTTTCTTGATGTAGTGGGAATCTCTTGCACGACTATCCCATTCGCAGAGAAAACAGCAGTACTTTGTGTATCCAGTCTGCAGACCAAGCAAGAGAGCAACAACCTTCAAATCGCCACAAAGCTGCCACTGATGTTGGTCATAGTTTATGCACCTCAAAAGTTGTTTCATGTTGTCATAGGTTTCCTTCATATGGACTGCATGACCAACTGGAATTGATGGCAAAACATTGCCATTATGCAGTAAAACAGCTTTAAGACTCGTCTTCGATGAATCAATGAACAGTCTCCACTCATCTGGATTGTGAACGATGTTGAGGGCTGCCATCACACCATTGATGTTGTTGCAGGCTACAAGATCACCTTCCATGAAGAAGAATAGGACAAGATCCTTTTGACGGTCACGGAACATGGAAACCCTAACATCACCTGCCAGGAGATTCCACTGCTGTAGTCTGGAGCCCAACAGCTCTGCCTTACTCTTGGGTAGTTCCAAATCCCTGACAAGGTCATTCAATTCACCTTGTGTTATGAGGTGTGGTTCAGAGGAGGAGGATGGGAGAAAATGTGGGTCCTGTGACATTGATGGTTCAGGACCAGAAGTTTCATCCTCTTCCTCTTCCTCGTCTGACTCAAGTGAGAATGATTCTGGTGCATCAGGAACCGGCAGTCCTTCTCCATGGGGTACTGGGCGTATAGCTGATGGAATGTTTGGATAATGCACAGTCCACTTTTTCTTCTTTGACACACCTTTCCCAACTGGAGGCACCATGCAGAAGTAACAATTGCTGGTATGATCTGTTGGCTCTCTCCAAATCATTGGCACTGCAAAAGGCATAGATTTCCTTTTCCTGTTCAACCACTGGCGAAGATTTGTTGCACAAGTGTTGCAGCATATGTGTGGGGCCCACTTCTTGTCCTGATCTCCAATTTTGCAGCCAAAAGAAAGGTGATAGGCTTTCTTAACCATAGTGGTTATACTGCGCTTTTGTGATGCAAAAGTCACTTCACCACAAACATAGCAGAAGTTATCTGCACTGTTCACACAAGTACGAGGCATCTCTGCTCACTTTGGCTAAACAGAAATGTGTCCCTTTGCAAAATCAAACACTGACAAATAAGAGAGCACGACACTGTATGATTTCTAGAGCTGATATAGGGCAATTTGTTCAGCAGAGTGATGTAAACTTCGTTATGATTGCATCATCCATGACTTCTAGGAATAACATGATGCAATTCATATCATGTATGACGCAATACCAGCTTCAGATTGCATCATTCATTGTTTTGCCTAAAAAGCAAGTACTGTCCAAATCCAGTCATAGATTTATTCATAGATCCAGTCAAAGATGTATTTTAGTCATTTCTGGTTTAAATTGCGATCCCTTCCCTTTATAACTCACTTATCCTCCGCCGTTCCCAAGTCAAGGGTCGTATATACTGACCCAATAGCATATCTTGAAAACTAGAGCCAATCAACAATTTTAAGCATCATTTTCGTTCTCAGTGACCCAGAATTAGTAAAGTTTGACTACATTTATTTCAGAAGCATTTTGGCTGTAGAGCAGTGATAATCATTAGAATTATACACCACTACGATGAACTGGATGTAAGGGAGAAACCAGCATGGCTTCTGCAAAGGAATATCACACCTTGCTGATACATTGCAATGGTTTGTACATGTCAGTACAAATGGGTGAAGAGGGGCCAGTTGGTTTAGCTCAGGTGTCTGTGAAACAATGAGACCCTAATTCTAATTGTGGCCTCTGGGTGCCCCACTAATACTGTGTGATTATAGTGTGGTGACCCGGCCAGGCAGGCAAGGCAAACTGGGAGGAGAGGCAAAGGCAAACCAAGACAAATGGGTCCTTTGAAATTTTTAGAACTTTATAAGGGAAAACCCCCAAATTGTACCAGGAGCTTAAATCATGTAGAACATTGACAAAGAGTTACTGTTCAGAGTACTAAACTATAGGTTACCAACTTGTAAACCTCTGGGGCTTGTACATGCTGGGCAGTTAGTACCAAATAGATTGTTATTAAGAAGAACAAAGAGATTCCTTAACAATAGACTGTGTCACTTCACAGAAGAGTCAACTTTTCTTCTCCTTGGCTGCAAGTCCAGCTCCACTCTTGCTGGCCTGTTCTTTGCTTCTCTTTGGCTTGAAGGGCTCCTTAGATTTGCTGTTTCTGTGGCTGTATCTCTTTTCACAGAATTTATCTACAAGTGGGGTTTCTTCACCTAGTGGGCCCTCATTTGTGCATTAGGCCCCTTTGAACTGTATCCCGTCACTAGATGGTCACAGTCACTCTCTCTGCTCATGTGGGTCAGGTCCCTTGTGGGCGGCCTTCTCGTTTACCATTTTCGGATCTGCTTTCATCTAACACAGCTTTTTGATCAAGTCCCTTTTTCACCAGTTCTGTTTCCTTTCAGTTTTTTCCCTTGGTGCCCGTCTCTGGTAAGTCTGTAGATATTATTTCCCTCTACTTCCTTTCTCTATTAGTGCCTGCTCACGCCTGCCAAGGCTGTTTATTTTTCTGCTTCTCCTGCCCTGAAACCCTTGTTATTTTCCTTCTTTCCTCCTTCTCACGTCCCAGTCCCCTACTTTTATTGTCCTGTTCTTCTTTCGTTTTATCACCTCCCCTGGGCTCCGGTTCACCCGCTAGCTCAGCATCTCGATTCTTCTCCTCTAACAGCTTTTCCCAACTGCCCCTTTGGGTGGATTCAAAGCCACCACCCCAGTTTGAGCTGCTCTCCCATTGGCCGTCCTCTCCCCAGGACAGAATTGTGTGCTGCTGCATCACAGCTGGAGCAGGGGCCAGTGCCAGGGGGTGGGTTACTGCACTACTATTATTGTAATAATGATAATTTGACAGGGCTGCCGGTGATAGCAGGGATGGACCCATTGTCCCAGGAGGTCCCTTCCAGATCTGTGTCCTAGTAAGGAAACTACGTCACCATTGTCTCTTACCATTTGGTGATTGCACAATGGGGCCCTGATCTAAGCACTACTGCAGTACTGCTGCTCTTAATTACTGATGACTTCATCTGCAGTTATATTACATAAAGAGTGGGGATATGAACCCTCCCCTGCCCCGCTTCAGGGCGTGAGCAAGCCTCTAACTGATGGGTGTGAGGAAAACACTTCCCCTATGGATGGATTATTCCAAACTTGTCCACTCTGGGGTTTCTTGTGCCTTTCTCGGAAGCAGCTGGTACTGGCCACAGTCAGAGACAGGGTCTGGGGCTAGACAGGCCCCATCGCTGATCCGTGGTGGCAATTCTTCAAGTCCTTGAAGTTACGGAGGGGTAGAACATGCTTGTTTTGCACGGAGATACTGAGAAACTCAGATGCATCCAGTCACTTGCTGTTTGTGTCCCGTTTACAGGAACCCGGGGAAACTGTTCTCCACCTGGCAGTGTTGTTAGCTGACCGAACCTCTCTACACATTGTAGATTTTCTGGTGCAGAACAGGTAAGCTGACTGCAGCGCTTGCAGGGGTAGGACTGTCTGCTCAGGATAAGACACATAAGGTCATCAGCGAAGTTAGTGCTGGATAGCCTTGGAGACTAAGTGCCTCTGGATATCCTCTGAAGTACCACCAGGGGGCAGCACCAGGGCATTTCCCTGTGGAAGTGCCTTAGTTTTGACATGGAGAAACCATCTTTAGGGTTAGAGGGGAATTCATGGCCATGGCCCTTCCCTGGACTCTGCTGAGGGGAGCAATGAGTGCCAATGGGGATGGAGATTTTCCGACTAGGACACATGTCCCCCTGGATGGTTCAGCCCAAGCCCTTCCTCCCACCCCGTCACTGAACAGCTCTCCAATGGGCCCGCCCACCCTGATTGCAGTCCACTGGTGACAGGCTCCATATCCCATTAGCCACTACTCCGGTCCAGCCAGACTCGAAGATGGGCTTCCCAAGGGCCAGCTCTTGGTTTTCAGAGTGAGTCTGGTTCTTCCTGAACAAGAGGAGGTACATTTTTGTTCCTTCTGCATTCAAGCCCAGTGTGCCATTGATTGGGGTGGAACCAGTGTTAAAGTCTGTCTCCCTAAGGGCTGCCCCACAGTGTCTGGGTACCTCCCAAGTGTTTATGGATTTATCTTCCCAGCACCTTTGTGAGCTCAGGCTCCGTTATCATCATCTCCGGTGTACAGAAGGGGGAATGGAGACTCAGAGGGAGAAAGTGACTTGTGCAAGGTCACACAAGAAGTGTGTTGGTGCTGGGAATGGAATTCAGCTCTCCTGGGTTCCAGCCTATACAAAACCATCCTTCCTCTTAGATGATCCTTCTAAACCCTTATCTTCTGCATCATCTCCTGTACTGTGAACTCTTCTCTTTATCTCTAACCCCCATTTCCCTTGCAACCGTATATGGTTGTAAAACTAGAAAGCTGATAAAACTGTGTGCTCACTCTATGCAAAATTCCATGCTGGCATCACTCAATGATGCATAGCTGTGTCTTCACGGGTGTGCTGCCCTGTGTGATCTGGTACGCAAGTGCAGGATTGTGTTCTGAGTTCGGCTGCTGCTGCAGTAGAGCGGGTATTGTACCAGCCACACAGCACTGCCCATTGCTGGGGAACATGCACACAGCTGCCAAGATTGGGGAAATTCCATGTCAATGAGAAGATTTGCATATGCTCACATAATTTGCATACAATCCTAATTATTTTAATAAACGGTGTGTGATTTATTACTGGAGGCAGCATCTGGCAGCTTGGGATGAGACAGCCTCCCCCGACCCTTTTCAGACCCTGTCTTAATCTGGGCCCCAGTCAGTCCCTTCCATTCAGCGTGTGTCACACCCCCACCCCCACAACGAGCTGTCCCCTCCTGCCCGAAGCCACGTGCCACAACAGCCTCTTGTGGTCACGGGATGAACTGCAGTTGCTACCCGCAGCTGAGTCAAATGTGTGAAGTTCCAGGTGAGCTGTCAGCAGGCGTGGCAGGGCTGCTCAGTGCACAAGAGCCGCACAATATGCCAGACGTTTGGCAGCCCTACGTTCACATGCCTTGGCTAAAAGCCCGAATGCTGGGCAGTGTCCGTTCTGATCTACATTCCTGTGAGCTAGGGAGAAGGGTTTGGGGTTGAATGTCACGCAGTTATTGTTATAGACGAGAACTGCTCTTTCTCAAGCATACTCATACTGACTGTCCTTTGCCCCAGTGGGAGCCTTGTGAAGCAGACAGTGAAGGGAAACACACCGCTTCATTACTGCTGCCTCCACAATAAACCCGAGTGCCTCAAGCTCTTTGTGAGAGCCAAAGCCAGCATTGCCATCAGTAAGTGACTGCACGGGCTCTGTTCTCCAAACAGGGAAGAAGGTGTTGGGGTTGGGTTCCTTATTTTTTACTGTCTCACTCTCAGGGCCTGTGTCTGCTCTCTGCACCTTGCATGTCTTACTGGGAACAGAATAGGAGCCCTTTGCACCAGGTACTAGGCCAAATGCAACAGAAGACGGATGAAGAACCAAGTGGCTTTTATACACAGAATGTGTAGCATTGACAATCCACAGGGCAGTGTGTCTCAGGAGCAGCGCTGAGGTGCCCCGACAGGGTCGGCAGTACATGGTGTGTAACAGGGATTATGGCTTAGCTCGGGTTAGAGAAGTCAGGTGCTGATCCTTGATGACTCAGTGGGCTGTAAGAATCCTGATTCCTTCAGGAGATACCTGGACAGGAGAGGCTGTGACTGTGAATGTGACAACCATGAGTTTTATACAGGAGTGACGATTCCAGGCCACAGGAAAGCAGATATTGCGGACCCACTGGCTCGGAGTTACTTGTATTTTAGTGACCAATGGTTTTGAAGCAGCTCTGAGCATGTTTGAGGCGTCACTAATGCCTATTAAGCAGATGTAGAGAATTCCAAAACAAAAACCTTGTTACAGTTAAGGTTAAGTGCAAGTCAAGAGCCGTCTTACAATAAACCCATCTTAAACCCCTCAGACATTAACAGTTTGGACAACAACCTATACTCGAGCACGTGCACACACACACACTTATCATTAAAGAGAAAAATGCTCAATGACCACCTCCCAAACAACCTTAACTCTGCCCCTGCATTTGTGTTAATATGTTAGGCCCTGACCTGACCTCTGCTAGAGACAACAGCAGTCTTTGCTTTCACTTTATTGGGAGCTCCCTTGGTCCCTTGTGCTCCTGTTACCTAACCTTATATGTGTCCTTCCTCTAGTGTGTAATTCTGTGTCTGATTTGTGATGATATGCACAGTTCCTGTGTTAATATAATGAATGTGGATCTTTCTCAGCTGGTGTAGAAGTTCTGGTTAGTTCATACAGTAGCTTTGTCTCTAACGATATGTCTTTAATTAGGGGTGCATGGTATTAGTAGTAGGAAAAAATCACTCTTTGGATGGGTTTACATGCTGTGCCGATGGGCCCTGTAACAAACTTTAGATGCATATTGTGCCGGGGTGTATAGACCCCGTGCAAACAAGGAAGGGCTAGCCCCACCCCTTTGGCCCCGTGAATCATGTCGGATAGGGAGGAGGCCTTTTAAAGAGAGGACACTGCAGTCAGCAGGGTGGGAGTGGAGCAGGATTGCCCTAAGCTGCAGACTGCAGGAGTGACTCCTAGCCAGGAGACCTTCACCCTGAACAACAGACTCCCAGCGTAAGATGGACAGGCTGAGCCTGACTCAGAGGCCCGGCCAGAGCAATTTCCCCAAAACCAGTACCTTGGTGCACTGTAGACTTGCTGCCCCCTCCCCTTTTGCTGGGGTCACTGGGAGGGAGTATCCCTGAATGCGTTGGGGTTTGTGACTTTCATTTTTGATACCCCACTCTGGAGAGACTTAAAAGGGCCCACAAAGGGCAGAGCCCCCCACCCTCAAATAGTAAGGAAGTGGGGCCTGGGCTGGGACCCCCCAGTGCAGATAACTGGGCATTGTTAGGTTCCTGCCCTCCCCCACCCCCCAAGGGAGGAACCACCAAGGACTCTGTTACACATATGAATTCAGGGATTCCTAAATTGATAAAGTGCCTTTAATTTGGTGGATTGGATTTTAGCTTTACAAAAAGCCTGATTGATGACAAGGGGTACCAGATGTGATAAACACAGGCCTATCTTAGACTAGTCTTGGGATTTTATAAATGTTATCTCAATTGCTGTAAGCCAGGCAGTGTGTGCTGGCTGGTGGAGAGCTCCAATCACTCCAGGAGCTACAATCAGTGAGGGTAATTCCTGCAGACCTGGGACAGGTAGACAACTCCGGAGAAGTACCACCCCCCAGGGGAAATTGCACAGACTAATTCAGACCATTCAAGAGGCCCAGGAGACAAAGAAGAGCTTGTAAAGGCCCAGCCTGAACTGGCTGAGGAGGTCCTGCTTTTGATCCAACAAACTGACATGATCCTTTGACCAATGGGGCAAACCCTACCCAAAGGATTGAAGGACTATGACCTACCAGAGCCCCCACGTGGATGATAGGTGACCTCTGATAAGCTAGCATGTGTTTAGACCTTTCTTTGTTGTATGATATATTTCCTCTGTAATACTTTTCTCCTAAAATCAATGTTCTATGCTCTGTGAAATCTGTCTGGTACCAGGTAATCCCTGTCTGGTACCAGGTAACTCACAGACCTTGGAGGATCAAAGTAAGACGCAGGTGCTGAGCGAGGTCAGATCTACTGGAATAATCACCGTGAGTTGCACAGGGACAGCAGCCTTTAAACCCCCAGTCTGAAGGGAGAGGGGAGATGGCTGGAGGCCTGAGATCTAAAGGGTGCCCTTGAGCAGACCACGGAGGGGGTCAAAGGTGCAGTTACCCTGAAATGGTGACACAAGCTTTCTATAATAAAAGTAATGTGCCCATGCTTTTAGGTGCAGTTCTGAGAGAAAGCGCTGTAATGGATGGATCAATTCGTTCATGGAGTGCGCTTTCTCCTGGCGGCACAGTTAAAGTTGTTTGGGTGCTGGGCATTGAGAAAGTTGTTGCTGATGTCTAAATTGTTTAGGTATCAATTTCTATCCATACCTGTTAATGTTGAGTGGGGTTGTTTTTATGTGTCCAATGTGGTCTCTTCTCTGGACTTTAACTGCAAATTGACAAAGTCTTTGGGTTGGAATCCCTGTTTTGGTAAGTCTCAGCTGGAATCCAAGGCCAGACTTCTCCCTGGAGAGCTCTGTGCATATCAGTGTAATATTAGTTAATGCTTTCTTGGCCAGATGTGCAGAGGTTTCCTCAGAGCAGCTATGGTTGTTTAATTCTTCCGCTGCAGATAAAGAAGTAAATAATCATTGAAGCAGGGGGCCTGGACGCTGGGTCTCCCACCTCCTGGATGAGTGCTCTCCCCACCAGACTACAGAGTCATTCTCATGCTTGTGCTCGCTCGCTTTCCCTCCCCCACCCGCTTCTTGCAAACTGGCGTAGGCGCCTAATTCCAAAGAGGGTTTCTGGCTGAGAATCACTAGCAGAGAAAGGCGCCTGCTTCTGAGGGCTTGTCTTCACTACCCGCCTGGATCGGCGGGTAGAAATCGATCTCTCGGGGATCGATTTATCGCGTCTCGTCGGGACGCGATAATCGATCCCTGAATCGACACGCGTACTCCACCAGCCCAGGTAGGAGTAAGCGCCATCGACGGGGAAGCCGCGGCGGTCGATTTGCCACTGTCCTCACAGCGGGGTAAGTCGGATCGGATACGTCGAATTCAGCTACGCTATTCCCGTAGCTGAATTTGCGTATCTGAAATCGATTCCCCTTCCCCCCCCCCCCCCCCCCCGTAGTGTAGACGTAGCCTGTGAGAGAGCTGGGGCTTAGTGCACACCCCTCTGGTTGGCATCTCCTCGGCGCCTAGCCTGCTGGCTTTTGTGATTTGCATTCTAAGGTGCACCTCTCTCCCCGATCCTAGGCGCCTACCTCAGGCTTTGAGAGTTACAAGGTGTTCCCAGGATTTCCTAGGTGCCCAAGAGTTCGGCGTTGCAATGCTCAGTGTCACCACCCTATGTCCTTTTGTGCATTCAGGCCTAAGTGGCTGAGGGAGCTCGACTCTATTCTGACTAGGGTTGCTAACTTTTGTTTCAAAGCTAAAGATGGGTCAGACTGGGGAGAGAGGTGGGTGTTATTCTTCTGGGCTCTGCCCAAAAAATAAGCTCCACCCTGGTGCATTGCCAGCACGAGACATGAGACACAGTAGATTATGTCGATGTTCAGAATATGATCGTGTGCCGACTGGGCTCCTTGAGCTTGGTTCTGCCTCGGCAGGGCCTGAACAACATTTGGGCTCTGCTGGGTTCAGCACCTTTTAGACTGGGGAAGAAATGAATTGTGGCATCTGCCCAGTGCCACCCACCTGCAGCACCAACATGAGCCGTTACTCAGTAAACGGCAGGTGTGTGGCCCTCACTTTCCTCTCTTCCAGGGGGAGGAAATAGCTCCCCATGGTGACACCTGAATGTTCGTCCCTAGGCCTCTGAGCAATCACCTCCCTGAGATGAATGAGGCAGGGCACCCCTTTCAGAGCTGCCGTTCCAGACTCAGGCAGACACATCTGCACAAGTGATACTTTGCTCACAGAACAGCTAGAGACTTCCTTTCTTAAAAAACGAGGGCTGAGATTCTGGAGAACAAAAAAGCAGGCGTGGAGCAGTACTGGTAGGGTGTATGGGCATATGCCGGCTGTTTTTGAGCCCTGACCAAAGAGCTAATAATCTGTTGTGCATGAGGGTATGAAAAATGTACCTGCGTTTGACCTTTGAGATTGATAAAGAATTCCACTTTAAAGTTCAGGCTGGCAGTAAAATCATGAGAACTAATTAGTGTCTGTATCTTTATCACGCATTTGTCAGTGGTGTCACACATTTACCTTTAAAGGCTGCCTCCTGTGACAGGAACCATTTAGTAGCAAGGGCTATTTGGTTGTTCTCTCCTCTTTACAGTCCCTGGCTATACACATATCTGTGCTCGTGTGCAGAGCAAATTCTGCAGGGGCCAATCAGGGGGCTAAAGGTGTGTCCTGATCTGAGGGAAGCCAAAACTCCCAAGGCTTGGCAGCCAAATGTTAAACTCCCCTGTGCCGGCGCCGCGCCAGGAGCTCTGAAATCCTGCATCCCACATAGAAGCCCCCAAACAACTCACTCACTCAGAGCAAGAACTAGAGGAGACGGGGGTTAGCATGGAACTCCCAGGGCAGCCTCCCTAGCAGGAACTGCCTTCGCGCTCACAGGGCTCATGACAGCTGCTTTTCCCCACAGCCAATGAAGCTGAAGAGACGGCCCTGGATGTGGCCAGGCGCATGAGACACTCCCTATGTGAAGAACTGGTAAGAAATGGCACCTTACAGTCTCCACCCTTGGAGTGTGAGCTCCACGCAGCAGGTGGGGCACTCAGTAGCAAGCCAGGGATTGGACCTCATTAGAAGGGGAAGGTGGCAGCCCCACCACACTGCTTCTGCATGGTGCTTCCCCGAGTTCACATTGCACTCCCTCCAGCATAGATCTAGCAGTGTGCTGGGCAAATAGCTCCCTTCTAAGGTCTTGCCTCTTGTTCAGTGGAGGTCCATAGCACTCGGCTTTATTGCCCATAGTTGCACAGTGCCAGCAAGACACCTAAGCTTCTGGCCCAGGCTGCACCGGGCTCCATGTGATGACTTGGCTGAATTCTGTGAGGTTGGTCTCTTCTTGGTCTGGAATCTGACCTGAACTTTGCCTGATTGGTAGGGGGTTCTGAGCTTAGGGGTGGGGGGAGAGATGGGGCTTGCCCCTCCCCCTGGCTCATCCAGGATCGCCTAGGAGTGCTGCAGGCAATGCATGCTGCTTCTGCTGGTCCTGGGTGACAGCTGGTGCCCTGATGCAAGGCCTTGTCTGAGTTGCTAGGGCCCATGAGGGATGCAGAGCAGGACATAAAGTGACCTCAGGCAGATGCCTGGTCTGCTGTTGCTGAGAGAGAATGGGATTTGTTCAGACCCCACTTGGGGGATGGGACAGCCAGTTTGGAGACATTTCTAGTGGTAGTGCAGACTTTGAGGTTAGAGAGGTGTTTCTTCTCCCAGCTAACAAAATCAGAGTCAGTACTGATGGGATATGGTCTGGATTTGCCAGGTTGAGAGGTCTCTGTGGCTATAGCTGCTGGGCTCAGAGCGGTCTGCCATGGGATGATCTCCCGCTGGCATATGGCAGGATCCCACACCCAGAGCCCAGAAACCACCCAGAAATCTTGCTTTTGTGCTGCCCAGGGCCAGGTGTTAGGGCTCCAATGCAAACAGCAGTGTCCTGGGAAGAGGAGGAAGGTTGTAGGAAAGTCCCCAGGTAGAGGTGGGGCAGCCTGGGCATCATGCTTACCAGCTGGAAACCATTGCTTCAGACTGAGGTGTGTCTTCCCCCAGGACCTGTCTCTGTGACCCTGGGCTGCTCACTCCACTTTCAGCCTTGATGCAGAGCACTGTAGGTGGGTATAGGAGAGAGTTTGACCTGAGCCTGATTCCTCTGTGTTCCAGCTGCTGCAGGCTCAAAACAATCAGTTCAACATGCGTGTTCACGTGGAATATGAGTGGCGGCTGGGCCAGGATGACATGTATGAGAGCGACGATGATCTGGATGAGAAGGTGAGATCCCAGCACACTACAGCTGTCCCCAGCTACAAGCCGAGGTTCTTGCCCACATATATATTGACTGGTATGGACGCAGCACAGACCTGGCTCAGCACCTCTTCCCATCACTGAGCCATTAACCAGGGCTGTGTGTGCAGATCTTGCCTGTCCACCTTATTGCAGCTGCCTCTGATCCTGCCTCATTTCCCTTCGAGGTTATCATGTGAAACTGTATTGGATGCTTCACTGAAGATGAGCAAAAATACGGCACCCATTTTCTCTTCCATGTTGTGCCATCAACGCAGGAGCTGAAACTGGGCTGGAATGGGATTTGCTGCAGCCATGCTGTTTGCTGTTTATCACCTGCCTTATTATTGTTACAATAATTTACCGGGCGTGGAACTCTTTCGTCCGTCCGTCTGCCTGCTTAGAAATTGGCACGACACATGCATGTATCGTGCTCAGGGAACTCGGCAGTTGAGGGTGAAAGAGCTTTTCAGCTGAAGCTTGCTGGATTGAATCCAGCCCAGGTTGCAGTGACCAAAAGTCTTCATCAGTTCACAGCTCCACATAAACAACACGCCTGTCTCTTCTTTTCAGTTGGGTTCCCCGAAGGAGCGCATTCTCCGCCCTCAGAGCTGCTACCATTCACCTGCCACTGCCTCCCAGCCATGGGGAAATGCAGCAGGGCTTTCAAAGGGTGCAATTCCAGCCCCCCAGGGGAAATTGCATGACATCTATGCACACCCTCACTCCCACATACCAGCAGCTTCTGGCTCTGCTTCATGTGTGCCGCCTCTTCCACCACGCAGTGTAAACCGAGGTGAGACTTTCCTTCATGGTAGCCCTGCCGCAGCAGTGGGGTTTGTGGGGTAGGGCCAGCCCCAGAGCAGGGGAGTCCGGCTGGACAGATTTCAAACAATAGCGATGCCCTTCCTTCTTATCCTAGGCAAAATTGGCAGTTCATTGTCCTGTTGGCCCCACTGACAATGCCCCATCCCTGCATCTCCCTGCCCCAACCCCGGGGCTGACCACCACTGGGCCAAGGCCTAGAGCAAGCGTTGTCAAAGCAGCCAGGCCCAGACCAATCCGCCTGCAGCAAATGTCTGTGAGGAAATGTCTTCAGTGAATCTCCATGTACGGAGGGCGGTGACCTCTCAGGGGCTGAGGCGGGGCAGCCCCCCAGGTACAAGGGGCAGCATTAGTAGCTATCCATGCAATTCAGTATCAGCCCCTCTAAGTTTTTGTCCATCTCAGGCCAGATTCTCAGCGGGTGTAAATCAGCCCTGCTATGTTAATGTCCATGTAGCTACTCTGATGTACACCAGCTGAGGCCCTTTCCACCGAAGCTGTCAGTAGCCCCCTCCCTGTATGTGTCCCCCTCCCTCTCCCTCTGCTCTCCTCTCACTGCCAGACTTGCTGTTGATTTTGTGTAGCTCCCAACGTGCCCCCGCCCACTCCTCCTGCCAGCCTGCTGGCCAGTGCTGTGGACCCCGGAGTCAGGAGGATCCTGTCGCTACCTCTGAGCATCAAGCACAGACGAACGTCATCAGAGCCTGTGCCCTGCTTGCCGCTCAGCCCCACGCAGCCCAGCCAAAGCAGCCTGGCTCCAGGTAAGGGACTGGCCAGCAGGATGGGGCTCTGTGGGGAAGAAGCTTGGGGAGCTGAGGACACTCGCTCTGTCTCCGTTGCCCTTGGATCCATCCCTGCCTGAGGTAGACACCGTTCCTGTCAGTCCTGGCCTGGTGGGCATGTCCAGCTCCCTGGGATTGCAGGGTCTGGCCCTTCCAGTTGAATCCTGGAAGATGCACCCCCCCGAAGGCCAGAGAGCACAGGGATGGAGAGGATCCCCAGATGGCAGCGGACTGAACCGTGCAGCTGCCAGGGACTAACCTTGCGCTAGCCCTTCACCCCGGATTGTTCCCTTCCCTGGGGATCTGAGGCTCCTTGGCCAGGCCTGTGGGGCATGGGGGAACGTACTGAACCTCGGAGCCGCATGTGATCCCAGTGCAAAGCATCTGCACCTGGGAATCCCTGGCCGTCCTGGCTGGCATAGTACATCGCTCCCAGCTCTGGGCCAGGCTCAGCTCTTAGGGGTGCTACAGCAGTAGCTGAACGCTTGCCCCGTGCCCGGGAGGGTGTCCCCGGTGCTGAGTGGGGGTGGGGCAGCTTGGATGTGTGCATTGCCCATCCGCAGTGGGTCAGCAGCTGCCGAGAAGGCACCACCCGCGGGCAACACACCACCTGCTTCTCCATTGCTCAGGCCATTTCTCTTCTCCCGGTCAGATTCTGGAACCTCCTCACCTCCCAAAGGCCATTCTGCAGCAGGAGACCCTCCCAGGAGACTGAGGTAACTCCCCATGGCTGAGCTCACTGAGGGGCAAGGCCCTGGCACCCCTTAGCCTTGGCCTGAGTTCATATGAAGCTGAGAGAGCTGGAGCCTAGTCACGTCACTTGGCTACAAGCCCCATGAACCTGGGACGAGCTATGCAGGGCCTCTGGGGATCACAGGGGAGAGCTCCCTGGGCAGAAGGCCTCTCTGTGGGGCAGGGTAACCTGGGGCTCTCTGGGAGCTCCCTGCACAGCTCGGGGCTTGTCAGTGTTCGGGGGAGGTGAGTGTCCTGATTGTGCCTTGCACCCAACAGGAGGCCCTGAAACAGGTGGGGGGAGGGGAGAGGGGGACAGGGGGACGCTGCTGTCTGCAGCCATTGTCTCCCAGGGCCGCTGTCCCAGGACTGGGACCCTTGGCGATGGCTCTGGGTGCCACGTGCTGCTGTTGCTAAATACCATGTCCCAGTGCCCTGGCATGGACGAGTCTGGCCAGCTGCCCTGTGTGATGGCCCCTTCCCGCGGGAGGGGTGGTGGCCGTGGCATTATGGTGAGGTGTGGGTGAGGCTTTGCCCTCTCACCTCCTGTCCCCTTCCCCATGGCAGGAGCCCCAGGCTGCCCTCCATGGAAGCTGCAGCACGGCTGGATGCGGCGGGGCTCCTGGAGGGGCTGCCTCTACCACTGGAGAAAGACCCCGGGCCAAGCCCATAACCCAGCTAGTGTCATACTCCTCTGTGGCTCTGCCTGCCAGTTGGGCTGGCTGGCAGTCAACAGCCAGCAAGGGAATCCCACAGAGCCCTGGGGCCCACCTGAGATCTGCTGCCCACCGATACGCGCTTCAGGAGCGCAGGGTACCTGGGGCCCCATTCTGCACCCCACCCATCCTCGTCCTGTCTGAGTGACCAGCTCTTCTCTGCGGCTTCCCTCAGCACCGGATCCCACCAGGGCACCAGCCACTCCGCCACCAAGGACACGACACAGCTTGGTAAGGACGACCTGAGCCCTGCTTGGCTACCAGAACCTACCCGCGGCCTGCCACATCGGGCCCAGCTTCCTGCCCTTGCACCCCTCACTTTGGAGGCACTGCCCGCCTAGCCCAGCTGCCCGCCACCATCCCATCCCTCTTCAACCCCCTCCACCACCCTTTGTCATCTCACCCCTCCCCCAGCCCCTCCACCATCCCTCCCCTCGCCCAGCACTGCCACC